AGTCGATGTCCGGCTCTGAGGACGAGGCAGCTGGAGGCGGACCGGTCTACCTGTGATGGACACTTTCAGCCCCATCGCCTGCAGGAAAACAAAAATAAACGTGTCGTCACCACAGAAACGCCACCAGAGCGGACAGTAACGACTCGCTGGCCTTTTTCTGCTCTAAAGGTGACCCGTCAGGACGGATCAGTGGCCTATTCAAAGCTCATCCCATGTGCTCCACAAAGTCATTCTTAGATAATCAGATTTTGCTCAGTTCCTTCCATCTCAACGTTTACACTCGCACACGAGAATAGCTGCAAACAGACGTGCATCTTTGAAAAGCATCAGTGGAGCCTCCTGCACAACTGACAAGAATACAGCAAACGGTTTCTGGTTTGAGTCGACATCAAAACACTTATCTTCTCCAGCACACTGCAAAAACACAAAATCTTACTTATCAGTTAGTTTTATCTTTTTTAAAGTGCAATAAGATACAGGAGCTTCTTTTAAGTCAATAATTCCCTAATATTGATGAAAAAGTTCTATTTCCATTAGCAGATTATTTCACATAAACATGAGAAAAATGTCTTGTTATAAAACTTAAATAATCTACCAGAGGAACTAGAACTTTTTCATCTATATTAGGGAATTATTCACTTAAAGCAAACTTCTAGTTCCGTCTGAAAAGTTACTTATGAATTAGTTTTATATTATTTCAGGTTTACTAAGATATTTGCAGTAGAAACTAGACCAAAAATACTTGGTAACATTTTGTGTTTTTTTGCAGTGCAGGGCATACAGAGCTGGAACTCAGCTGGGGTTGCTAGGTAACAGGCAAGAACTCAGCTGGGGTTGCTAGGTAACGACCTCGGCTGAAGTTGCTAGGTAACAGGCTGGAACTCAGCTGGGGTTGCTAGTTAACAGGCTCGGCTAGCGTTGCTAGGTAACAGTGCAGTGTGACTCAACAATCGAGAGGTTTTTGAAAGGGCTCGTTTTCCAGACACAAAGAAACTTGAACTTATTGATAAAAATCTGCTGGATGTTTTTTTAAGAGTTTGGGTCGTTTGTAGAAACAGTTGAAACCTAAAGTGTGAATTTTGTTTTCTGTGGTTCCCTTCATGAGATGAGGTGATTTTTAGGCGTTACGGGAAAATGAACAGATTGTAGAAGTTACAGGACGGCGGATCTCAGGGGAAACGTTAAAACGAAGCCTGCAGGTGGCGCTGTGATCTCTAACAGTCCAGGCTGGGATTCGAACCCGGGACCTGGTTGCTGCCGGGCAGCAGCTCTACCAGATCCACCAGTCGGAGGGCGAACAAAGAGCCCAACAGGCAGGAAATGAGAAGTAGGTCATGAGTGGAGAGACGGAGAGACGGCAGCGTGAAGCCGAGACGTGTCGTCCTCCAGAGACGAGACGTCTCCTCAGAAACCTTTCATCTGCTGCTGGATCCACTTCAAACCGCTCCGAGGATCGATACCAGCTCTGACTGCGACCCCAAACACACACACACACACACACACACACACACACACCCCGCTCTGATGGAACCCTGGTGGGCATTTCACACCTCACCTCACCTGTCAGGTGTGACCCCCTGAAGCTCCGGGTTCATCCTGGAGCTGCTCAGTCTGACCTTCACTTCACCTGGACAGGAAGATCCAGACGCAGCAACGAGCCGGAAAAATGTTTCACTTTTCTGGAAAAGTTTATTTTCTAGAAATGTTCTGATGTTTTGGCAGAAATCTGCCTTGACCTCAGAACACCAGACTATCCTTCCCCTCATCTCTTTTTAACTTAGTTTTGTAATCAAAGGAGGATTGACTCCAGAGCTGCTTCTTTTGAGTTTTTTCTTCTAAAATTTCAACTTTTCAAACTCAGAAATTTTTGTTTTTTGTAGAAATTTTTTTATATCTTGGCAGAAATGTACTCCTTGTTTTCTACTTACTGTGTCACTAATATGTCTCCATATAATTCATATTCAGGTCTTTATTCGTGTCCCAGTGGGACAGTAAAATAATCATGATGAGATTTAATTATCAGCTTGAGCTGATAATTAAATCAGTCTCTTGTACTTTTTCTTCGCTGCGTTTATGTTCAGCTCTCCAGGATTCGCTTCCCTTCTGATGTTTTAGTGGTGTAGCAAAGAAAAAGTTCCCCCTGGAAACAGATTACTGGCAACACGTTCCGAGGTTTAAAAATAAAATCTGGTGTACAGAAAATGTTTCTCTAACAAAAGCAGAAAACATGCAGCATCTGTATCTTTCCTCTGATTGTCTCGCTGATAAACTTTCTCTAAACTTCCTCCAGGTCACGTTTTGCTGCTGAAAGCTTCTTGGAGTTTAAGTGAACCTTTGAGTTGCGTCGAGGGAACGGAGCTCTGGGTCTGCTGGTTGGTCTGTTTCTGGTCTCTGCTGAGAGCCGGTTGAGCTGCAGGCAGCAGGATGGATGTTTATTGATCAGCAGAGGGATGGAGGACGTTGTTGGCCTCAGCAGGCCTCCAGACTGGAGGAGGCTGTGGGGAATATCAGCCTTTTGGGTCCGTTTTTCTTCTGCATGTTGCTTTTCTTCCAGTCTCTCCCTGACGGATTAAAAGCAGCTCAGTTTGGCTGTTCGTTTCCTTTTCTTTGAAGCATTGATCCGACCCGTTTTCTCTCCACTCATGAGAGTTTTGATCGTTTCTGTGAGCGGATGCCGGAGCAGCAGACGGTCTCTAAATGACTTCTGCTCTTCGTTTTCATCACCTAGTTGCGTGTAAAGCTGTCATCAGAGCGGTCGGTGGCGGCTGTGTGTTATGAGGTCAAACTATTCCTGTCAGCAGCTGAAAAGGTCGTCGATACTCAGGTTTCACCATCCAGCAGAGGTTGACCCGATTATGAACGAACCATTCCTCTGGTTTATGGGTCGGCTCCGTATCTGCAGCCGTCGCTTCATGAGTTCAGGAAAACAATGGAAGACGAAACGCCGGATTCTGAAATGAATGTTTTCCTGTTTTTATTGTGGAAGTTAAAGTAAAACCCAACCTGCCTGGGAACGTTGAGGTTTGCTGAGTTTTGCAGATGAATGTTTTAGTGACTGTGGTTCTGCTGACGACCCGGTTTGGACCAAACTTCAGCTGTTGTCTCGTCTCCTCCTGTTGCTCCAGACTTCCTGCGGTCCAGCCGGATGTCTGCAGAGCGTCGGCTGAAACTCTGAAACATGCATGAAAAACAGGAAGCGACCCAGATGGCGGCGATTAGTCGGATAAAACCCGAGGCTTTTAAAGCCGAACAGGAGGAAGTGCTGCTTAAACTGAGCTAACGCTAAAACCAAAGTGATGCTGTTTTCACGTCGGACGTGTTTCACACGTCAAAAACTCGTCTGATGCTTCCAGTCAGACCGTTTGCAGTTTGAAGTCAGACTCTTGACTTTTTGCTCTGGCAGCGCGTTGTGACGAATCATCGTTTTCCGCTGCTGGTCTCTTTATGCAGGTGGAACTGAAAGTGAAACCAAAATAATATCATGCAGGGAATCTTGTGCAGTCGTAACGGAGGCTCAGATAGCTGATAACGGCTCGGCGCGCGTTGAACAAAACGTTGAGAGTTTCTGGGTTTTATTTGCTCAAATCAACAGAATGTTTCCTAAGCCAGCCGTACGCTGACGACGGTCGCTGACGACGGTCGGTCGCTGGCGACATCGCTGACGACGGTCGCTGACGACGGTCGGTCGCTGACGACGGCTGCTGACGACGGTCGCTGACGACGGTCGCTGACGACGGCTGCTGACGACGGTCGCTGTCAGCGATGTTTTCGTCTCAGCTGAGCCCAGTTTGATGACCTGCTGACCCCCATCTCCTGCAGACTCCACCTACAGGCCACTACGTCACATCGCACAGTCTCTCTGATCTCTGATTGGTTGACGCTCTGCGTTGAGCGGCTAAAGTTCAGATTTTCCATCTCCAGCGTCGGACGTGTTGGACTCAGTTTGAACGCTGGAAAAGCTTCGGAGCGCCAGACACGCCGTGACGTCTCGATGCGTCTCGATTCGTCCACATGGACCTTGAATATAAACCAGACGCTCCAAAAGTTCGGTGTGAACACAGAATAACGCTAAAACAGAAGTGATGCTAAAAATACTTTATTGGTCCCAACTGGAAATTAAATGTTGCTGTAATTCACATTGATTAAAATTATTTTATCTGCTGATGGCTCTTAAAATGTAAGACGTGATAAACTTACTAGCATAACTTCTGGCTTAGCGTAGCGTCTGCTGTTTCTGTTGCAGTTAGTTGACCTTTCTGGGCCTCCGTAGAAGCGATCCCTCTGCGTGGATCTCCTCAGACTCCTGAGTCTCTAACGGCTCAGAAAACCTCAGGACTCGTCTGATTAAACGCTAGAAGCAGCGAGGACGACCTCACTCCGTCTGCCGCTTTAGTTCATGACGAATAAATAAGGACAAATAAAAACAAACCTTTAATTTGCTTTGGCTCCTGGTCCTTCAGGCGTTTACCCTCCACTGCAGCTGATTGTCACCTTTTATCACGAGGAAGTCTGGATTTTATGACCTGGAGACGATCATGGATCGTTTCCGGTCCAGACTCACCAGTGGAGCTCGCTGTTCGCTCCCTGAACGCCGCCGCGTCTCATCCTGTCTGTAAAGCCGTAACTTCCTGTCCGCCATCATCAGTGACGTCTGCATGTCCGGCCGCCGCCAGCAGAGGTCATCATTAGTGCTGATTAAAGCCCCAGAAACATCCTTGATTAGCCTCATCAGCGCCCCGGTGATTATATTCACATTTTTCTTCTTAAGTCATTGATTATGCCGACCTGCTGTCAGAAATTATATATAATAGGCTCCATTCGTAGATAAAATATGTTCTTTTTGTTCTGTCTTTAAATCCTGATTGTGCAAAGAGAAAGTGTGCGGCGAGTCGACCTTACGATCGACCAGCTGCTCCTGATTTCACCTCCTCTGGTTGGAACCTCGAAGTTTGAGCCCAAACTGACCCGGTAGCCCTGAAACGTCTCCGGTTCTCCTGCAGGTGCCAGCCTGCCGAAGCCCCAGGTGAAGACGGCGTCTCTGGGCCAGGCCGGGAAGGCCCGCTCCCCTCTGCTGCCCGTCTCCGTACCGACGGCGCCGGACCTGCAGGACGAAGGCGGAGCCAAGCCGGCAGAAGACCCGGCCACCAACGTGAGTCAGAAAGTCACAGAACCAGAAAAGGTTTTCTGCACGTTTTACCTCCAACTGCAACAAAGTCACTTTGTAGCAAAACCAAAAATATGATTTAAGTTTAAACGGATCACAACCTGCTGGTTTCCACCAAGCAGCAAAAACAAACTGAGAGTTAAACATCAGGAGGTTCTGGGGAGAAAACTGACGAGTTCAGGAAATGAAAGCAGGAAATTTATTCTCATTATGTTACAACTTTTATTACTGGCACTTTATTTTAGTATTTTTTATTCCTCTCATGTTAGGACCTCATTCTTCTCCCACTCTGGGATTTTTACAAACTTATCCTCACATTATTGCAAGTTTATTTTCATATTTTTACATCCTTTCTGTCGTATTAACACGACTTTATTTGGTCATAAAATTACTATTTTCTTGTAATTTTATGTCCTCATTTTATTATGATTTCATTTTGTGACTTTTTTCTCTTTCTAAAAACAGAATCCTGTTAGTTTGGCGCTAAAACTGCATGTATAATAAAAACAAACCGTTTAGTTTCAGTCGTGTTGCTTTTGTGACTCTGAACAAACCTCGTTTATCAGGACTGAAGCTAAAACAGCTGTGAGGTTTGTGGCTGAGCTCTGGCCTAATCAAAGTAAATGACTGAGACAAAGCAGATATCGACTCTTCTCTGCTCGGCTGCTGATTGTAGGAAAGATTCAGAGCCAAACCTGAAGAATCGTCTCAGTTTTAACAGAAGATTCTTGAAAAGTCCTTCATCCTGTCAGAGTTTTGCTTTCAAAGCCTCAGAAGCTGAAGGAGACGTTTGTTCAGGGCTCTGAGGTGAGACAGGTGAGACAGGTGAAACACAGGTGAGACAGGTGAGACAGGTGAAACACAGGTGAGACAGGTGAGACAGGTGAGACAGGTGAAACAGAGGTGAGACAGGGGAGACAGGTGAGACAGGGGAGACAGGTGAGACAGGGGAGACAGGTGAAACACAGGTGAGACAGGTGAGACAGGGGAGACAGGTGAAACACAGGTGAGACAGGTGAAACAGGTGAGACAGGGGAGACAGGTGAGACAGGTGAAACACAGGTGAGACAGGTG